TCAATGACGTTTCCGCTGTGCTGCCTGTGTTGACGTAGGTCAGCAGTAGCCACTTGTCAGATTGTTCTGTTGTAAGCAACAGTGGTCACAAGCACTTGTTTTTGTTGTTGGCACTTGACGTTTGTCACTACAGCCCTGTTGACGTGGCTGAGTTTTATTCACTTTTAGTTAGATTTTAGATTTTTAGAAATTTTTAAGTTTGCTTGTCACTAAGCCCTGTTGATGTGGCTGAGTTTTATTTACTTTTAGTAAAATTTTAGATTTTTAGAGATTTTTTAGTTTGTGGGTAATGACTGACGCACTGTCAAATACCACTGGTTGGGCGCCAATTAGGGAAAGGTTTGCCGGCGGTTAACGCGCGCGGCTTTTAGTAATCGGACGTCAGGCGGAGCCGTTACAATAAGAAGATTAGGAGTTTACTTTTAATGCTTTATTATCCCGAGCCAAGCGGAGCTGTAGCGTCGGAGGCAAAATCAGAACTGAATATAAAAATACAAGAATTCAAACTTAGGATCACATTGCTGCGATCCCATATTCGTAGCGGCCACGCAAATCTGCAGTGTCTGCCGGCTACGTATCGACATCCGGCATAATGCTTACGTTGCAGTATGCCGATGTCGTCGTATTTCATGCGCCCGTGGGAGCGACGTTAGCTTTAGTTAACTTGTATACCCGGAGGTATGTGTAGCGTCTTTGTGAAATTCACAGGAGGCGAAAATCACGAGAATTGTGGTAAAGTAGCGACATAGGTGCTCAGGGGTGCAAGACTGTGCGTGCAAACGATTGTGGTTGTGCGTACATAGGAAGGAAAACAGACAAAGTTTTCGGAGAGGAGCGATCGTTTTTGGAGAAGATGGTCAAGATAGCGGACCTCAGGGCAGACCAGTTGCGGTATTTGCCATGAGAGAGGAACTTGGGAGTTGCAGGCTCCAGGGCAGAGCTAGTGCAGAGACTAGTGGAACACGAGAATTCTGAAGAAGTGGATTTGCCACAAGCAGTTCAAATTATGAGTTATAAAATTATTAGATAAGTTTATCAACCATAACCCTGGCGATCAAGCGGCGATAAGCATGGTAGACAAGCGTCAGTTAAGGAAATAGCGAGTACCTTACCAGACTATGACCCCGAAGATGAGAATTCGATCTCCGTGAATCAGTCCATCGATCGTGTCAACAAAGAGGTAGATGCGTATCAATGGGAAGGCAAAATTTTACTTCTTGCTATATACACAAACCTAAAGGGTCCCTCCAAAATGTGGCTCCATTCTTCGAGGATTTTACATACAACATGGAACAGTTTTGCAGCAGCAATCCGAGAGGAATTCGGATCAGAGCCGGACGAGGCAGAAATTCATTTCAGAATGGCAAATGCAACTAGACGATTGAAGGAAACCGTAAAGGAGTATTGTTTCCGTATGTCAGCACTTAGAGTGCGATTTAAGCTTAGTGAAGCAGCAGTCATAGAGGTGGTCTACAGCTCAGAGAGTTGCAAAACAGTATTGCAGCCATTAATTTTTCGTCGATGAAGGAGTTTCGTGACGCTACAGAGTCATATTTCATAAAAAGAGGGAGGTCCAATACAAATAAGAAAAAGTTCTTACTCATTTCCAGTACTCTTGAGGTAAGGCTGGAAAATGAGATGATACAATCAAAGCCAAGAGAAGCTAGAGCATGCTTCAATTTCAAATTCATGCCCAAAGGAGAGGAAAAAGACGCGTTGCTCCAAATGCAATAAGTTTCATTCCGCCGATGAAATTTGCCAAGCCTCACAGGTTGATCATCACACGGTTGATGTTCACACGGATAATCTACATCAACGAGAAAGGCTTTAACGCTTTCATTGATACTGGAAGCCAAGCCAGGGTGCGACGCAGATCGACAGGAGTGCTTCATAAAAATTCTGGGCATATGTGGAGGCTCACGTATCCTTACCGAAGATATGGTAGTGGATATCGAAATCGAAAATGAAATGAAATATCGAAAAATGGTGACAGCCGAAGCTTACATCGCAGACGACAATCTGTTGCAGAAGGATTTGTTGTTGGGAAAAGATGTCATTACATGCGCTGAATTTGTGTGAAAATTCGAGCCAAGCGAGATAGAAGTCAACAGAGCAGTTCATCAGTCGGTAACAAGTTCTACCAAGAGTATTTTTCTTGTTAATTTTCAGAAAGAATAAGTATGCAGTTTGCTCGAGAAGTTTGCAGACGTTCTTTCCACAGTATTGGAATACATAGGCAAGACAAACGTCGTCCAGGCACAAAATGTTGTTGAGAGTGGCCAAGTAGTTTCTCAAGCGCCATATCGAGTGTCCGAGCCGAAGAAGGAAGATGTTGTACAAGCTGATCAGAAAGGAAAATTCCCCCTACCGAATATTGAGGAGAGATTGCAGGAAGCGAAGCGTTTCGCATATTTCTCATCCCTAGAACTGAATAGCGGATATTATCAGATTGAAATGGAACCAGAGAGCAGAAAGTTAACTGAATTTATCATCACGGATGGATTGTTTGAGTTTCAATGTCTTCCGTTTGGGCTAAAAAATGCACTTGCTGCATCCAAGTCCCTCTGAATATTTCCGGAAATTAGTACCTGGATAATATGCAATAATATCATAGCCATTGCGAATCCTTTTGCGCAAAGACCAAAAGTTCAAATGGGAGCAGACACAAGATGATGCTTTTGAAAAATTGAAGATATGCCTCACGTCAAAGCCTGTTGTAACTAGCTACCGCGTAGATGCTGAACATGAAGTACATAAAGATGCAAGTTCCGTTAGATTAGCCGGAGTTTTGATGCAGAAAGATAACTGAAGCCAATCGCATATTATAGACAAGCCACATCCAAGCCAGAGAAAAATTATCACAGTTACGAACTAGAAGCCTTTGCAGTCGACGAGTCGTTGGAACGTTTTAAATATTACATTTATGGAAAAATGGTAAAGGTTATTACTGATTACAATACTTAAAAAACGTACATGGAAAAACGAGAGCTCATACCACAAATTGCAAGATGGTGGTTGCGATTACAAAAATATGACATCGATATTCTTCATATAGCAGGAACTCAGATGTGCAAAAACAGTCATTGATGAAGCCGACTTGTTGTTTGCCATACAACTACAAGATGAGAAAATCCAGAAAATTTTAGCTGATATGAAAGCCGAGAGGAATCTGAAAATGACGAGTATGTGATCGAACAAGAAGCAGTTGAGATTCCATATCCTCCACGAATGCCACGACAAAGCCCGACACATGAGCACAGATAAAACCATCAGTGGGATTTTAAATCTGTTTTGTAAAAAGCTTAATAAAGTCCTGGGTCGGCTGCGCAATGTATAAAATACCAGGTGAACGCCAGGAAGGTACGATGACACCAAGCCGATTCCATTTTCCACTGTTCACATGGATCACCTGGGACCGTTTCCGAAAAGTTCAAAGCGAAATTAGCATATTTTGGTCCTTGTCGACGCTTTCACTACGTTTTCCATAGTTCAAGCAGTAAAAAAAACAACAACAAGAAAGCACGTCCTAGATGCCCTTCAAGAAGTCACCAGCTACGTTGGACATTTACATCCAAAGATTTTTAAAAATATTGCAAGTCGAACAATGTGAAGCTTATTCTCAACGCCGTGAGAACACCAAGAGCTAACGGTCATGCAAAAAGGACAAATCGAATTATTTTGTCAATGCTTTGCAGGAGAATGTAACGAGCGGGTAGTTGTCCATGAATAATTTAAGCAGAAACCGATATTTTGTAAGCGATAGCTAAGAGGCCATCCTTTCATTTTACACTTCTAAATGTTCTGAAATGTGTGGGAGGAAAATTTGCGATGTGCGTTTTCATGCTTACAGTGAAGGCGAAGCCCAAGCAAGTGCACACATTTTAAAGAAGGCGAGTAATTACTCGCATCATTAATTAATGATGCTGTTCCCCAAAAGAACTAAGAAGCTGATCCCAAAATAGTAAAATTTTAGCAGATTTAAATTGTTTAAAAAATTTAAACAGAGTAAGTTAAGCCTGTAAAAATAAATAATGTACAAGCATTACTTTGTTTTCAGCTTTGGGACACAGTGACAAGAGCGGAGAAAGAAATTCTATCTATTCTACCTTCTATACGCCATCGACATTTTGTGCATTCAGCAGAAGAAAACTTTCTTCTTTTCTTCGTTAGCGGGAACCAACAAATTGACAAAGAGAACAGACCAGCAAATAATTGATGTGGAAAATATGAAGTGTTATTTTTATTTAAAAGTCATCGACAACCACATTTTAGTTATAAGTAGAGAAAGCATGTGAAAACAAAGATCTTTCATTAAAGCCTTCATAAAGCCTACTACTAATTGTGGACATCCTTTGCCATCGAAATGAAGCCTACTTATAAAAAAAAAGAAAATGCAGTGGCAAATATAGTCTTAGAAAATATATAACAGGACAAAATTAAAACAAGCTAGTGGGATTGCGAACGAGAAAGTTTATCAATCTTTTTGGCATATCGATAGAAATTGGTAAAAATTAAATTAAAACAAAAGAAAATTTCAAAAGTGTGCGCGTGGGAGTCATGTGGGCTTTAGCGTAGACGTGGCCGAAATTTATAGTATATCTGTCCATCCGTATAAAAGCTAGAAAGTTGATATTAAGCATGCTGATTCCACAGACATAGACGCAGAGCAAAATTATCTTAATATCCATCTAAAGACATAAACAATACCGGTATGTTATGAGGTGGAGTAGTGTAGCATCCGATGCTGCCATGCAGAGTCAGAGATGCTGCCATGCAGAGTATTTTACATCTTATAAAATGAGTGCTGAAAGATTGCAATTGTTTTAGCGATTATCAGACGGGAATTTACGGCTGAACAAAAATAGCTCCGCAGTGAGTTCCATTTCGGCATATTTTTCAATGTTACTATTTGTTTAAGTTTAAGTCCAAAATAAATAGTGATAATACATTTTAATCAGATGCTTTTTATAATATTTGACTGAGTACAAATAGCTATTAATTATTGTTTATATTTTTGATAAAACGTCCATATTGCCATATCTGAGCTCTTGAAAATCATGGCAAAAAGAGCAATACAGGTTAACCTAGAATTGAAAAATTTAATGTTTAAAAGAAATATATATTTATATAGAGAAATATTAAAATTAAAAAATAAATATTTGATAAAACATATTTCACTAGCCTAAGATATTAAGATACTAGCCTAACACAAGATACTATTACTTGTACCATTACCAAAGACATTAGAATAAGAAGATGCGTAACGCCATACGATTTTTTTGTACACGATTTTTTTGTACTAGCTCTCCAGGCTCTCTCGAATTGTTGTTCAAGAGCCAGAGAGAGAAAGCGCTCTAGAGCCCGCAGCTCTCTTGTACACGTGCAGCGTCAGTTGATCACTGTATGTGAGCACAAGATGCTCATGAATTTGAAAAAACAAAAAATATATATATATAATACGTACAGGAGATACTATATCGATAGTCAAGTTCCTCGATAATACTACCCTTTACCATTTACTCGTCGATAGAAATGGCAAAAAAAAAATACAAAAAAAAATCAACAAAAAATTGAGAAGAGTGGGATATTAAGAGTGGGACATTTGGGAACAAACTTGGGTCGTGTATATCTCTGGAGCTTGCGTGCTCAGTTTCAACTTCTAGCTAGAAACTATAAGCCTCAGATCAAGGTGTTCATACGAACAGACGAACATGGCCAGATCAACTCGGTTATTGATCCTGATTAAGATATTGTCGGAAAAGCTTTCTTCTACCTGTTACATATCTTTCTTTATTCAGAAAGAAATCTCTCCAAAAACTTCTCAATTCGAATAAAAAGAGCTCTTGATAAGGTAAAAAATGAGTTACTTTCGCACCTTCAATAGAAAATAGTCGGTCGGACAGGAATCATTTTTTTAAACATGCGCGCCGTATGAGTTAAATTTATATAGTGAATGTTTAAATAAATTTTCGTTACCAAAGTTGATTATCTTTTGTGAGATCGATACATTTCCTACCTTGTCAAGAGGAGTTTTATTTTATTCAGTGTAATTTGTTATTGTTTTGTGGCTTGCAAAAGTTTTAAATGAATATGTATTATTTTGTTTGCATATGTAGAACAAATCTTTTTTTTAAGGATGACATATATTACCTGTCATAACTTGCATAAATTCTGCAATAAAAATTGTATCATTGAATGTTTAATTATAAATTATAAATGTTAGGCAACTTACCGTCAAAATCAACCGTACCAGACCCATCCGCATCAATTTCTTCTATGATCATATCTAAGTCTTGGTTAGAAAGCTTATCGTCCAATTCGTGAAGAATGCCTCTTAGTGTTGCAACTGTAAGGTATCCTTTTCCCTCTTTATCATATACCCGAAAGGCCTCTTTTAACTCATTTTGAAGAGCTCCCACATCTTCCTCAACTTCAATAAAGCGAGCTGCCAGCTTGCAGAACTGGCTAAAATCCAATTTACCGGTTGTTCCTTTATCTACCTCTTTAATAAGTGCCTTTACCGCAGGTGGTTCCAATTTCTGACCTAATATTTCGAGAATGCTAGATACATCAGCGTGCTCGATGCATCCTACACCGTCGTGGTCGAAAGCCTTGAAAGCATTCCTAAGGACTAATAAGTCGTTTTGTTTTTAAATAATAAATGTAAGTTTAATTTGAAATTACTTCTCAGTTGTTCCTTGTCGTATTCTCCATCAGCCTGCAAGAAGTGAGGTTATAAGTTAAAATTTGTAAGATAATATGATTTAATATGTTAAGGAAACATATGGTGTCAGAATGGTATCTATTTTTCTAAAGGTGGTGGAGGGGGAGGGTGGGTGTGTAACATACAACAAATTTTTGAAACGACCCTCTTTTTAGTTAAAAATGCAGGGAAAATATTCAGTAGAAATTATTGGAATTTTTCCGGGTTCTACTGATATGAAAAAATAAAAAATTGAAACCGCCCACGATTGCAACGACCATTCTTTTAAAAATTGTTTTGTTTAGCCAATTTCTTTCGATTTCAGAAAACACTCCAAAAGAGGAGCCCAGCAAGCCAAAAGGTGCTCCTAAGCATTTTTTTTACATATTTATATATATTATATATATTCATATATATTATATATATTTATATATATTAGAGATATTATAAATATTTATAATAGTCTCGTCTTCGTAGGTAAAATACGTTTAATTTGGGTATTCTTGGAATAACTTATTTTTAGTTTCTTTTATATAAATCTTTTACATTGTTTATTTTGAATAAAATTCGACTTTCATCGGCGAGTATCAGTCTTTTTTGTATGACCCAACCCAAGAGAAAACGAATACAATAGAATGTGTTGATAATTACAGTTTTAAGGGGTTTCTGACGCGAGTAGTGGAGTAGGTCAAAAACAATGATATTACTTTTGATTGACAACCACGACAAAGGTTGATCGTTTTGTGCATTCTTGTATTATATATTCTTTTGTATTATTTTTTATCTTTTGCCTATGTCCCTTGCATTCCCACTAGCTGAGTAGCGGGAACCTGATAGTCTAGAATAGTTTGGATATGTTATTCTGTTTAGTTCACTGGCTTAAAAGTTTTTAGAAATAATATCACCTTTACTGGATGGAGTTCGCAAACAGTTTCGAAAACGTTTTAAATCTAAAGAATTGTGAGCTAAACAACGTATGTTCTAAGTATTTCACAAATGAAATAATTTTTTTATATATGAAAATAATTTTATCTTTTAATTTGAATTTATTTGTTTGTTTGTTGAATTTTAAATGTATAGTAATGTTTTTTTTAAGCCAAGAATAAATATTTATATCTTTATTATATGACAAGTGATAGTGTAATATTTAGAGAAAATTATCAATTTTATATAAGAAATTGGGTCTGTGTAGTTAGTAACTCCATTAATTTTCAGTTTGACCAGAGTAATTATCGTAACTTACCATTTTATAAAGTTGTTTTAACCTTTAAACCTTTAAATATAATATCAAAATACTATATTACTATACGATATGTTTGGTAATCTAAAAAGTGTCCCAGAAGAGACGTAGGTGCTAAAGAAACAGGGTACTGTACTTTCAATTATCGTCAAGCTTTTAAACAATTCGATTTGTGTTATATGTTAGCTAAGTTCATCGGCAATGGAAAATGCCAAAGCTTTACCAAACGCCAACAATAAAAATGTAAGCGACTACAACTGTATACAAACGGCTAAATTTTCATCCTAATCGATGATAAGGAAATAAGAGCAATAAGCGCTCGGAGGATAAGGGTGGTCTTTATGCCGAAATTATTATTCCTTAAATTGTAATAGAAATAAACCTTTTCTTTAAATTCTTTGTTTAGTTTTTTTTTATTTATCAGAATGTTTGGTATATAAACAGTAAAAGCAGCATACATGGTCATATCAGCCTTCATCCTTAAAGGAGTTAACAATATTTTCTTTTGACAGCTTCACCATATCTGTTACGGGGAACTTATGTTCTTAGGCGTTCGTCGTTTCACAGTAATATTTATATCTCTATTTATCTTTATACTTGAAGAGTGTTTACCAAGAAGTTTATATTGATGCATTAATTACTGATAATTGCACTGTGTGCTATGATAAAGCGCCACAGGTCGAGTTCCTTTAATATCAGACCGCTTTACTCAGCAAGTAGAAGTACCACAAAGAAATTGAAAATAATTTTTCGATATGACAGAAATCGGTAAAAAAAAAAATTTTGGTAAAAAATCAAAACATTTTTATCAATTGTGGGTGTGACTGGCAAATAAAACCATATTCAATACCGTTCGTGCGTGACAATTTGGCAAGCCGAAAGATAATATGAAAAACAGGAGATATCAGGATTATCAGATAATGAAAAATGTTTGAAAAAAAAAATAACAATTTGTTCAAAGAATAGGGTGTGGCAGTTTTGTGTGGTTTGTGGAACCTAGAGTGAAATACCAATAGAAAATGGCCAGACATAAAGTAAAACGATAAAAGTATAAAAAGTAATACGTGGCTGTTTGTCTCTGAAAACTGCATGATTTCTATCTTTCTGAACGGACAGACAAACGGTCGAACATGACCCCTTGATCCTGATCAAGAATATATATACTTTATAGGGTCGGAAACGCTTTCTTCTATTGGTTACATACTTTTAAACGAGTCTAGTATACCCCTTTACTCAACGAGTAACGAGTATAAAACTTTGTTAAAAAAAAAGGCGAACAATAGTACATTTTAATGCATACGTTTATTATTTTTGAGAACCTTATCCGTTAACGTTATTTAGCAATTTATTTTGTATTCAAAACAATTTAGTTAAGATAAAGAGTTGAATCTAATATATTTTTTATTTTTTTTTTTTATATTTTTTTTTATTTTTTTTTTTTTATTTTGATATTTTCCTGCCAGTTTCTTCGACATGCCAAAAATTTTGACATTTCTCGCTTGCACTCTCATTAGCTCAGTGACTATTATTCCCTATGGTGTTACTCTTTTGTTATATTACTGCATGGGTATAAGCTTCGGCTTACTGAATTAATATTTTAATTTTTTTTTTATATTCTTAATATTTTGTTATTACTTGTTCTTAATGCCGGTATATTTGGTCCCAGTCATGCCAAATATTCCTCCACTGTCCTTAGCCGTTTCATTCACGCTTTTTAGAAATTAGAATGGTTTTTGAGTTTTGATAAGCGCTCGTACATAAATAGGTTACTCATTATTTGTATTCTTAAATGCAAGCGGTTCGCAGCTCCACTGCCTGCAAGCATCGGCAGCGGCCAACGGAAAAATTATAGAAAGCTGATTGACTTGGGTCTACCTCAAGAACAATAAAATGCGCCTAAGGCAGCGACAACTGGTGATTATAGTTAATAACAAAACTTGGGTTAAAAAATTATCAAAATTAAGTAATTTTTTGTTAAATAATTTGATTAAATCGTTGTTTAAATACTTTATAAGTTAGTTATAAATAATTAACAATTTACAATCCCTTAGGGTTAGTCTTAGTCTGTCTTAGTCTAAGTCTTTAAAGCTTTACCATAACAAATGATTAAATTCTGTTTAAAACTGTTTGTTTGTGGTGTTAAATAACTCCTTCGTTTCCTCAATAAATGAATAATCAACAAACTGAACCTATTAAACAAAAAAAATATATATATAAAAAAAATAAACTAAACATCCAAATTGAGAAAAGGAAAAAAAACCCTTTCGTTCCAAAAAAATAAATATAAAATAGTTTCGATCCACTTATACGTTTAACCAAAAATATGCAAGCTATTCTGCGCGGACCGGTACATTCCAGCCTTTACATACATACAAATATATTTACAAGCTCCCGCTCTATTCTGCGCTGAGCGGCAAACTTCTACATACACGTACATACATCATTTACATAGGTTTGTCTAAGTGCAAGTTCTCTCGTCTCCTTTTTGCTCAGTCAGCAAACTGCAATGACAAAAAACGGGGACACAGTGACCGAAACACAAAAAAAAAAAAAAAAAAGAAAAAAAATGGAAACAAATATTTTAAAACCTATCCAAATAATTATTTAAGAATTATAGCCAAATTTGTAAGAGTGTTTGGCTGTTTTGCCTATTTTTAGGCAATTTTGGCAGTTTTTTCCCCGAATTGGTTTTAAATTTTTGTCCGGTTCCTAAAGATAAGATCCAACCAACCTAAATAATTTTCGATAATTATTTAATATTTCCCTCCGGAGTTATCAGCTTTTCTAGATAGTTTTTTTTTTGGCGTGTTAGCTTTGTTTTATTTGTGTTTCGCAGTCGTTTTTCATGATTTTCCGTGTGTTTCTAAATTCGAACTCAAATAATTACACTCGCACACGAAGCCTCGCCAAGCCCTATATAAAGCGAGCGGCTGACCTCGTATCCTTACTTAGCGTCCGACAGCAATCTTTTGATCGTCGCACAGTGTTCTGCGATCTCTTTGTCGTTCCTAAACCAAATTCGAAGCTGAGAATATCACTTTATTGGCTAATAATTTCGAACAATATTAATTATTATTGTTTTAAATTTTTTAATTCCATCCAGAGCCGGGTTGTTTGGTCATTCTTTTTCTCTTCCAATTTTTTGCGGCGTGCAGGCCTCCTTGCCTTATTTTTTCTTCCTTTCATAACTGAGTATGCTCATAGAGCGAGACAAAAAAAGATATATGCGCCAGGGAAATAACCCAAACTCAACCCTAGTCTACTCTAGTCCAAAAGGAAGAACTCCAAGAAGTGTCATTGCCCGACCGAAAGTGGAAAAGAGAGTACAAACATTTTCGGCCCTCATTGCCCTAGAAGGATCCGTCGACACATTGCAACGCCTCAAGTCGCGGAAGCACCCTCCCAGCCGCTTATTTCGTCCAGTTGCCGCTTGCCTCCTTGCGATACGAAAGTCTTCGATGTCTGACCCAGGCTGACACAGGTCGAGAAGTTGTTTGATCTCCTCACAAAAACAAGCGGCGAGGCAAAGGCCATCGCTTCCAAATCCCAAAGTCTTACGAATGAGGGGTTGGCTTCAAGATCGGTTCCAAAACAAACGACTTTTAGTCATTAGAAAACTCAAGCTCCTGTTATACTTGAGTTCGATATCCAAAATAGCTGGTCATGCTCTAAAGGAGATGCAGTCCACGATTCAGGGGTGTTTAACAGCGATAGCTCATTCTCGTATATCCATTGACAACTGGGATTGTTTGTTGGTTTTCCTCTGCGCGAGCAAACTGCTAAAGCTGACCCTCCCCTTATGGGAACAATCCTTAACGTCCCAATCCGAAATCCTAGCTTCAGAAGAAATAAACACTTTCGAGTACTGAAACAGCTGGCAGAGGACGTCCAAGTGCCATTTCCAAAAGCCAGCCGCATTATTAAGCAGTACATGTTCGACGACGACATTTTAGCAGGGGCTAATTTTGTGAACGAAGCCCAAAGTTGGAGAGTTGCAAGCAGCACTAAGTTCCTCCGGGTTTCGGTTGAGAATGTGGATATCAAACCACGAGGGCGTACTGAAAGAAGTCCCGGCCGAGCACATCCTTCATAGCGAGTTCCTCTACATCGATGCCGAAAGAACGGCCAAGACGCTCGGTATTCGGTGGAGGGAAAAGTCCGACGAATTATATTTCGTCCCTTCTGAAATAGCTTTGGGACACTCTTATACAAAGTGAGAAGTTTTGTCCCAAATCGCTAGGTTGTTCGATACTGCCGGGTGGCTCGCGTCGGTCATCATCCGTTCCAAAATGTTCATGCAGGAGCTTTGGTTGCAGGACTTAGGCTAGGACGATAAGCTTCCCATCGAAATGGGTCAGAGGTTGCCTCTTAGATGAGTATTCCGACCCCAACCAGATCCGCGTTCCGAGATGGGTCTGAGGTAACCATAAAGCATCAAGGGTTCTGTGACGCGTCTCAGAAAGCCTATAGAGAGGCTATGTACATCCTCGACGAGATGGGGCAAAGGATCTTAACTCGTCTGCTTACAGCCAAACCGTATCCCTTCCCCGGCTAGAGCGCTGTGATGCCCGAAACCGCTGTTAACCGAAATGGTGGCAGCAATCCTTCCGCATATGCCAACCGCCAGTTCAGATATCCGCTGATGGACAGATTCCACTATTATTCTAGTCTGGTTACGAAGGCCTGCTTGCAACTGGACCACGTTTGTGGCCAACAGGGTCGCCAAGATCACGCAGCCGCACCAGTCAACTGTTGGGCACACGTTCGATCTGAACAAAACTCCGCCGATCTAGCCAGTCGAGGCGTATCCCTATATGAATTGTCAGGTAATCATCTCCGGTGGCATGGACCAGAGTGGCTGCAAGGGCCACGAGAGCTATGGCCAGCGCAAAGCGACACTCATTCAGTGACAGAGCTAGAGCAGCGCGCGGTCAGAGTGCATTTTATCAAGGCCCCGTCTATCGACTTCCTCGAACGTTTTTCGAAATTGGACAAGGCACTTCGACGTGTTCGACGTGTTCTTATGCACTGCCGCAGGGGCAATTCACGACCCACTAGTGAAGAAATCCGAGAGGCAGAAAGAACTCTGATCTCCATTGCGCAGCACCGGCCAAGAGCAGAAACATCTGGCAGGTAAAAACTGAATCTATTTCCATTCATGGACCAACACGGCCTTTTAAGGGCATGCGGCCGTCTCTCGGCCTCCAGAGGCCTACAATATTATGAACGCCATCTACGACTGTAGGCTGTCTCGCCTTCTCATTCAATTTGCTCACCAGATTACTCTTCACGGCGATAGTCAAATTA